ACCAAGCTCAGAGAACCCCAAGGACTCCACCTGGATGTAGTATCCCAAATTATGCATTCAGGTACATACTCAGATAGTCCATATGCCATAGCCCATTTGAAGAGTGCATTAATAGAAATAGAATTTGCACATGGCCCATTATATATAGAAAATACAATAATGTTGATCATTTTAATATATGACTTCTAATCACTTAAAATGCTATAGGCCTACACAATCTATCATAGACTTTCCACATTAATTAAAATAAACTTCCTTACAATTTATAACAATATTTTAGACAGTTTATCCTACAACCATCTCACTGGTAATATAAATATTGTCAAGCAATGGCAGATATCAGGGAATCCCAGGACTCCAGGGACTCTAAAAAGAGCCATAGAATGTCTGTCCTGTTGCCAATAAAATTGTATGTCTATGAGGTCAACAGAAGTTGAGCTTGACCCAGATGAGACTTTCCTTAGCACCAGGCCGTGGAAAGTTATCTAAATTTTCATATTCTTGTCAAATGTCTTATTCATTGTGCCCCTGCTATAATTGAATGACATTGTGACAAAGTTGCAATAAAACAAAGAAGTTTGGGGTAACCAGATATGATTGTAGGAGATCTCAAATATTTTTCCTTGAACTGGAAAAGATCCCATACATTGTGAAACAAAATGCAGGAGAAATATGAGAGAGAGAAGGCGGGGGGGGGGGGGGGGGAGAGAGAGGGAGACCCCACAGGTATGGGGAAAGAAACAATAGATATTTTTATTTTTTATTTATTTATCGTATTTATATCCCAGGCCTGATCACATAGCCAGGTCTTAAGGGACTTGCAGAATGTTAAGAGGGATGGAGCTAATCTCACTTCTAGGGGGAGAAGATTCCAGAAGGCAGGTGCCATGGCAGAGAATACCTATCTCCTGGGACCCACCAAATGTAATTCTCTGGCAGACAGGACCCACAGCATGCCTTCTCTGCCAGACCTGATGGCACAGGCAGATGTAATCAGGGAGAGGTGGTCTCTCAGGTAACCTGGCCCCATGGCATGAAGGGCTTTAAAGATCAAAATCAGCACCTTGAATTGGACCCAGAAGCAAACTGGCAACCAATGAAGCCCACGGAGCAGAGGTGTAACATGTACCACCCTAGGGGCACACAAAACTACCTGTGCTGCTGCATTTTGCACCAGCTGAAGCTTCCAGATACTCTTCAAGGGCAGACTCATGTAGAGCTCATTACAGAAATCCAAACAGGAGGTGACTAGGGCATGAGTTGCAGTGAGTAGGTCCCTCTGATCTAGGAGTGGGCACAACTGGTGCACAACACAAAGCTGTGCAAAGGCCCTCCTAGCTACGACTACCACCTGCTCTTTGAACAGGAGTCATGAGTCCAGGAGGACCCCCAGATTGTGCACAGGGTCTGCCTGGGGCAGTGCAACCCCATTCAGTACCAAAGATGGCCTAGCCCTACCACCAGAAGGCCCCAAAACCCAAAGCCACTCAGTCTTGCCAGGGTTCAGCTGAAGCCTGTTGTCCCCCATCCAGACCCTCACAGCCTCTGGGCTCCGGGATAAGACATGCATAGCATCACTTA